AGGTTGTAGCCCACGAAAGCTTATGCTCTAATAAATTTGTTAGTCTCTAAGATGCCACAAGTACTCCTGTTCTTTTTGAGGATACAGACTAACACGGCTGCTACTCTGAAACCTTTCACAAAAGAGAATCTTATTAAATGAGTCAAAGCAGTAGGGCTAAAGAATTGGCCCACAGAGAAGAATAGAGAAGCCAGAAAACCTCAATTATGGAACCTATAAAAAGATGTGTTCTTTTCAAGGTGCAGTTTGCCTACAAGGCACTGTAACCAGTCAAGGAACAATAGACTGAGGCCAGAAGGGAAAGAGTAAATAAAGCATCTGCACAGTGAAAGAGATAATGGGATCTCACAGGTATAGGACTTCCACACACATTTTTGTCAAGAGAATATTGCCTTCTGTTGTGAACTTTTATCCCAACCAGAAGAAAGGAACACACATTCCTTCCATAAAGGTATTACCACTTGTCTAAATCTATTACTATAGCAAGTGAGGCACTTTTTCCATTGCTGACATCAGTATTTCACCCCACTTGCAATGATTTTAAGTTTGGCAGGGGAGGGAGGGAGGGAGAAGAGGCTAACAAATTGTTTCAAGATGCACCCCATAAGTGAGAGGAAATGTTTTAAGTTACCAAACACAGATACGCTTCAACAGCACATGACCTCCACTAACATCCTGGACTCTTCACAATCAGGAAATAGACGTGGCTATGGTAATACAAATCTTAAGGCTCATACTACTCCACCGAACTAGTATTTTAGGGAGACACCACAAGATGCTGGTTAACCAGCATTATTGGACATAGTAGGAGTGAATGGTGGTGTAATCATTCCTTTCAATGAGAACTCAGACATTGATAAGCAGTTGCGCCTCATCCTCAGGAGTCCTCACATACAGTCCTGAAAGGATCAATCGTGTCTCCTCTCACTTGAGATACAAGACTTCTGAGAGAGCCTATGTGTCGCCATGGGCTCTACTGCCATCAATATGCCAACAGTGCCCAGTTGTACACTTCCTTCTCAGGTAAGACGATCACCACCACCACAAAGGTAATGGATTAAATAAGTGACAATGAAAAACAGTAACTCTCAACTCAGAAGAGAGTAATGCTTGTATGGAGAGGGAAACACTGAACAGCTAACAAAGCACTGACCGCACTCTCGACAAAATACACCTGCTCTCCAATTGGCAAAACAGTAATTACCCTAAGGCTATACAAAGTTAATCTTTTCTCTCTGGCTGCAGAAAGTAGCAAGAAATGTCCTTCCACTGCCAGACTTAGCAACTGTTTCCTCTCAGACCTAGCAACTATGATGTACACATTTGTCTAGTCTTAACCAACACCACTATGTAGCTGGGATTACAACAGTCCAAACAATAACTCCAGCATGTTCTAATATATGGCAGCCTGCATTTCAATAGAATTAGCCACTAGTAACACATCTCCTCTGCCCTGTTCACTTCCAAGTCCAATGTAAGCTGCCAATTCTAAACCTAGTTACTAACTGCTGAGTTAAAAATCATAGTTGCCTAGCCTGTCCATTTACATCTACCTTTTTGCAGAAGGCTACCCTTAACCGAAAGGAAGGGGGAAAAAAAAAATACAAGGTTAAACAGACAAATCCTAGGATGGAAAGAGCAGAGTCCAATTCAGTGTATTTTATGCTTCTCTTGAAATTGTGTTTTGTGCCAAGATACTATGCTAATTGCTTCCCTACAAATACTCGACAGAAGAAAGTTAAAAAAGCACATCAGGAAAGGGGGGGGGAAAATGAAGCTTGGTAGGGCTGATAGTCTTTGGCCCTTTGATAGAAGCCATGGACTTATTGCTAATAAGCCATTACTAACCTGAAAGAGAATTTTTTATTTTAGCTCTGCTTACAAGACTCAAAACAGATTAGTAATAAAAAGAACAGAGTGATCCATTTGACTAAAGGTATTTACTGTTCAATAAAAACAGTAGACAGATCTCTTAGGTAAGCTAACAGGCAAGTGAAGGGCTCTACACTCCACAGCGATATATGAGCATCAAGCCTCTCCTAAATCTTGAGAACAAATTTCTATCAACAATAGTACTCTTGGCAAATGTTCACTGAACTGGGCTGCAATTATGCGGCTCTTGAATATAGTGCAAGACAGATAAGGTAACTGGTCTGGTTAGACTAAGCATTTTAACTCCCATAGAAATTAAGGAAAATACTTGATACCTTAACATGCAACCCAGAGAGTAAGAAAGAAAACAGTGCAGATGCACAAGGCATACTGAAGGCAAACATTTGCCTTTCTAAATGCAGCTGTTCTGGTTCCGGTAATCCCACTGACTATATTAAACTAAATGACCTAGTTTGTGGCCACTACATTGTGAATTCTATCCTAAGCCATTATAATACCCCTTTAAAAAAAACCATACACCTGGCTGCTACATACCATACAAATCCCACAGTCCCCCAAGGACACCATTAGAGGATGTTTTGTTTACTCATTTGACTTGCTGACTTGTCATTGTTGAAGGCATATTTTCTTATTGTTTTGTATGGCAGAACATTCAGTTCCTGTAAAGACCAGTGTCAGTGATCAGATACTCCACTTGCAACATGAGGTAAACGAGATCTTTGATAGTGTAAGACTGCTGGGGTTAGATTAAAAAAAAAAACCAGCATCCTACTAATCAGCATAAATTCTAGATCACATATGTATGTTTTTAATCCAGAAGTCACTATAGAAACCAAAAGATTGTTTATTAAACCCAAAATATCTGTAGTTGGACAACAAACCTCAAATTAAAGCCCTTTAACAAAGAACAAAGTAGTTTTAGTCAATATAACCCTGAGTTTTTATACTCAAGTGTAAGACACCTTGTCAAAAAAAAGACAGAATTAAGATTTGCTTTAATTTAAGTGATTTTACCTTATCTAAATCAGATGGTGTAACCATCATATTTTAGTTTGAACCACCAAGGAGATCCACACAACTTCATTGAGAAAGCAGGTTTTGTTTAAAAAGTTACAAAACTAAATATATCTCTTTTAAAGATTTTTTTAATTAATGATTTTAGTGTGCATTTAAACATTACCCTGCAGTGTTTACAATGCAACACCTGAGCCTTGTACTAGTGTACAACAGGAAACGAAACCAACTAAGAACAAAAAAAAAGTGTGTTCTTACTTATCACAACAAAAAGAAGAACAAACTGCATACACTGTGGAAGATCTAATTTTTAGTTCTTTGTTTTCAAATGTCTAAAATATTGTTAGTAACAAACTAATTGAAAGAGTTATTTGATCTAACATTGTCACTATAATACCACTTCCATTTTGACAAGCTTACAGTGACTTGTACAGAAGATAAGTTATAACAATTGTCAGTCTGATCCTATGGCATCCTGAAAATCTTCAATTCTAGCATCTACTAGGAGGCGCTCAGCATCCAATTTCAAGAGTGAGAAGTGGTTTTAGATGCTACAGCTGCTCCCAAGTCTCCCTACCAATTTGTGTGATTTCAGAGCCACATGCTCCTTACAGACCTGTGTTTCTCTCCCTTGTTGACTTGTATGAGACTCTCACAAACAGTAAGAGAAAGAGACTGACTGTATTACTCTGCTTCCCCAGTACAAATTACATACAAAGTAAACAAAGACAGAAAGAAAAAAATAATGTGTGTCTCTGCCCTCTTATATATAGTCCTTTCAGATGTTACTTGTAACACTAACAAAATATTTTCAAGCAAAAATTAATTTTAAAAAAAAGTTAATAGTATCCAAGCAATTTTTCCATTGACTTGACACAACTGCCGTTCCAAAAGAGAAAGAGAAAATCCTTTATCACCAGAGGGAGAGACTTTTAAAAACTGCTTTAAAATTAATTTCAAATGAACGCGTCCCCCTTGCAAATGAGAGAGAGACCTTGGGGTCAGGTCTGGAAATTGACACTCAGCATTTGAAAGGAAGGTGCAGAGTCTGCTTCCACAGTCAATGCACTGGATTATTAAAATAAAATAAAGAGAGAAACCATCTTAAAGGAGATGCCCAGAGGAGCTATGTCTGGGCAGAGTCATATGGGGGAGCTGCTGACAAAGACCAGGTTTAACTGGGGGACACAAACAACTGGTGGGGGGAAAAGGTTTACACATTATTCATCCTCTCTCTTTCCCCTCTCACAGCTTCTTTCCTCCCTCTTCTCCTCCCCTTTTCCCTCTCCTCCATCTATTCCCTCTCTTCTCCTCACTCCCCCTCCTCACTCCTAAATCTCCCATCCCCTTCTTCCCTCTCCCCCATCTATTCCCTCTTCTCCTCACTCCCCCTCCTCACTCCTAAATCTCCCATCCCCTCCTCTCCTCTCCCCCATCTATTCCCTCTTCTCCTCACTCCCCCTCCTCACTCCTAAATCTCCCATCCCCTTCTTTCCCCTCCTCTCCTCTCCCCCATCTATTCCCTCTTCTCTTCATCCCCCTCCTTCACTCCTAACATCTCCCATCCCCTTCTTCCCCCTCCCCCATCTATTCCCTCCTCCTCTACTTCCCTCCTCCTCACTCCTGGTTTCCCCGACGCCCTTTTCTTTCTATCGTCTCCCCCTCCTTTCTCTCTCTCACTCTTCCCCATCTCCCTCATACGTGGGGGTCCGGGATACTCACCCCTCCTTCTCTCCAACTCAGCTGTTTACCACTCGGGGCTCCTCTAGCCCACAGGGCGCCGCCATCTTGGCCCTGCCTCCCTCCTCCCCTCTCCACCTCCAGCCCAACTAGCGACACCTCGAATCCCTCCGCTGAAGAAAATAGTGCGCGGGACCAGCCCCGTCTGCGCGATACGCCGCCGCCTGCCCACGCCCCGCCCTCGCTGTTTCCTCTGAGCGGCCTCTGTCTCTCGGCGGTCCGCGTTCCAGGCTTGGGATGCCCCGCGCCGGAGTGGCGCGGAGCTATCTCAAGCAGGAGCGATGCGGCTCCAGAGCGGTCTCGTGATTCTGGAGAGGGCCGCAAGAAGCGCCGGCTGAGGATCACGTGATTTGGAGTCTCCGGGAGGGAGTGGGCGGGGCGAGGCAGGCTGGGAGGTAAACAAGGCCTGCTGCCTCTGGGGGCGAGGCAGGCTGGCTCTTGTAGTGGGCCTGGACCTGCTGCAGCCTCAGCGCCTAGCACCCCGGGGGAGTCTGAGTGCTGAGCTCAGGCAGCTTCCCAGGCAGGCTGTCTGGCTGTCATGTTACACTGCCAAGGGCGCAGCATGCTGACACACGCAGCCGCACACAGGAGGTGCCACACAGAGTGGCACTCGGCAGCTGGTTGTGGCACCACCATGGTGACATGCAACGTGATGCCATGGTGGACACACAGTTACACCAAGCAACATGCCATGAAGCCACCTTCGCGTTGACATCTGCAATGACAAGCCCCAGCGACACCACGGCAATATTGCAGCACCTCAATGCAATACTCTGACACTATGTTGCCAGGGTGACATAAGATGGTGATGCCACTGAAATCAGTGCAGTTACACTAGATATAAATGTGACCCATGTGGACCTCCCCCTGATCCTCTCAACCAGGAGGTGCTCCTATGCAGTGTTGCCAACTCTCAAGATTTTATCACAAGTCTCGCAATATATGTGCTTTTTTGGAAAGCCCCAGCTCCTGGAATCAATTGGCTCTCAGACGTCATTTTAAAAAAAGGAAATTTCTAATCCTCGTGCTTGCAGAGGAAAGCTTGAAAACATGAAGCAAGGCTCAGAAACTGAAAAGTAAATGAAAAGAACCTCAGCACTATTATTTATTTTTAAAAATCTGAAGATTTTTGCCACTTGTGGTTTTAGAGGGCCCTGACTCATGATTTTTGAATGCTTGAGGTTGGCAGTACTGTTTTGGTGAAGTACTGATCGAACAAGCAGCACATCTCTGAGTTTTCTTGTGTAATGCACCTATGCACTTTCCATTTATCCACAAATCATACTGTTACCAGTTTAAAACAGGGATCTAATGAAGCCCCATTTTTGTCCTCCTTTTGTCTTATCTAAGCCATGGTGAACTTAATTTCTGGAAACTCCTGAAATTTTTTTTAGCCATAGCTAATTAGCTCTGTAATTTTTAATCTTACCATTGTAAATGTACAAAATGGGCTGTCCTAGAATCTATCAGAAAGAGTGCCATTTCAAATTTACATTATAATGAACAAGCCCCTTAATAGCCCACAAAGAACATAATTACCTTACTTGTAAAAGTACGTGGAAGGTGTAAGAAAGCATATGGCTGCGTGTCAGAAGGCACTATTGAAAACTGACATACAGCTATCAAAATATTCAGTTCTTTTAGGATATCGATTGCTGTGGTTGTCAGTATCAGAGGGGTAGCCATGTTAGTCTGGATCTGTAAAAAGCAAAGAGTCCTGTGGCACCTTATAGACTAAGGTTGTCAGTGTACTTTTAACCTGGGACCAAAAATGTGTTGCAGCACCACCATGTGTAAAAATAATAGTACTGCATATCTGAAAATAAACATCCTTACAAAGCTGGCCAAGTTCCACACTGCTGTAACTCCACTGCCTTCACCAGAGTTATACAAGCTCCGGATTTGAACTGCAGGAGGTGGGAACAGTGGTGGTCCCATCAAGTTCTGCCACACCAAGCTCTGCCCACTCAAGATACCAGAATGAGATTAGACTCACAGCAGATTGTGCAGATGTTCCAAATGTGATCACATGGGTTCAACTGGACTCCTCAAATTCAGCTCCCCACCAGCAGTGATACATCCTTGCACAGGCCAGATTAAGGCAAAGATACAATAGACACGTGATTAATGCCACGGTAGCCAGAGTCATGGGATGCTGTGAGAATCTACGCTTTAATTTTAAAAAAGTTTCTAGGCTCAGGGTTGTGCCAAACAGCATGAAAAAAATGATCTGAGGATAACTGATTTATGTTTATGTGAAATGATATTTACAAGACAGTATGGAAGCATGCAGCATTGTTGCAGAAACTTTACAGGAAAACTCTGAAGTCTGGTACACTCAAAATGTGATCTACTTTTTACTTTGAGTTAGCAAAGTGTAACCCACACACCTCCTGGGGGTGGTGTTCTGTCCCATCTAGTGGCACTGAGACCATTTAGAGAGAGAAAATGAGTCAGCTCTCCAGCCTTAGCTAACAGCCTAGTGGTTTTTTGCTCATGTGGTAGAGGCTCATACACTAAGCTCCAGAGGTCCCAAGTTTGATCCTGCCTGCTGAGGACCAGGGTGTGTGGGTGTTGCAAAAGCTCATGCCATTCTTTATATTTTTAATGATCTATTTATATAGTGATGGATTGCAAAATTCTTCATGAGCTGATGTACAAACCTTGCACAGGGATCACTTCACCCCTTGCCGAAATGCAGCAACTGTGGGAAGATGCATAACATTTCACCCCTTTAGGTTTGGAGATTAAGTATATATTAGCCAGTTAAAAGTGCAAGAAGAATTTGAGGAAGAATGAAAGTATATAAGATGGGGTTCTCCTGCCTTTTAATTTTGTAGACCATTCATGGACCTCTCACCAACCATCTCTTGTTCCCATACCCCAGTCTCTATACAGGTTGGTTCTCAAAAATTTTTCATTCTGTGGGCTAGCAGGAAGAGTTCTGTGGCTCTCTGGTGAGCCACAGGCTACAGATTGTGAACCTCTGACCTGATTCTGCAACTCATACTAATAGTCCCTTTGAAGCTAATGAGAATTTTCTCATAAGGATGGCAAGATAGAGCCTAGGTTCAAAGAAAATAAAAGCAGGATTAAAATGCTACCAGTGAGGTATCAGTGGCTCTTTAACTACTTCAGCACTAGCTGGCATATGTCACAGCTCTGATCGCTCTCCCTGTGGAACTGAGATCCCTCAGAGCTTGTTTCCCTTGATGTTGCACCTGTAACAGGTCATCCTATTGTAAGGTGAGAAAGAGTTTCTTGATGTGAGCACATCTCTAGTCCTGCTTTGTGCATTACAATTAATTTTTATTTCAGTCTGGGCTGAGCGGGCTTTTTTTCTCCCTGCTGAGCTGGGGACATGTTTATTTAATCTTCCTCGAAAAAAGATCTCAAATTAGGCTGAGTTTCAGAAAAGAAATGGAAGCAATTAGTGGTGTTATTCCGCGTTGACTTAATTACCATAGTACTACAAGCACAAAAGGAAACCCAGACAAGCTGGGAGGGGTTTGCACATGATTCTTATTGCTGGATAGACACAAAAAGGAAAGAATAGTGCGTAAAAAGTGGCTTTTGTGTGATATAATTAACCTTGTTTATTCTTATTTACCTACATACTTCAATGATTTATTTAATGAGGCATCTGAGGTGTATTAAGAGCAGGTGGCAATACATGGAATTAAATTGTCCTCAGTAGACAGCACAAATAGCTCTGCCTCCAGTATGCTCCCTGTGCACCATGGGTGAAATTCATCCTTGTGCAAGGAGCCAGCACACGCCTAAGCAGTCCCACTTAAGCCCTCCATGGCAGTCTTTCTTCCTTCCTCCTAGGTCCTGCAGAGGGTGCTCTACTCATCCTGGAAATTTCAAGGGGGAACAGATGAGATGGGGAGTGAATCAGCTGGAGGCAGGGCCAGACGGATATGTATTGTGCCCACATCAGCCCAGTGGAGATCAGGGCAGAAAGAAAATACAGCCCCAACTTGATCCACAGAGGGGATCCCCCGCAAAGGGTGTGTCTCTGGGGCAGCTGCTGCTGTGGGAGCTCTCTCAATGGGCTTCTCTTCACTGCAAGGTTAACTGGAGTTATGACAGGAGAGTTGTCCTATCCACGCACAAAATCCTTCAACACAAGTTGTGCAGCCCATCAGGGCATATAGTAGGGTGACCAGACAGCAAATGTGAAAAATCGGGATGGGAGTGGGGGGGGGGGTAATAGGAGCCTATATAAGAAACAGACCCCAAAATCCAGACTGTCCCTATAAAATCGGGACATCTGGTCACCCTAGCGTATAGGGTAAAACCCAAGTGATCACAACTCGTCAGCTACTGACACAACCACTCTGTAGGATGGACACAGGCTAGTGCCACTTGAGTGCTTCTCATCTCCCAATGTCTTGCCACAATGCCCTGTGTGTCCAGAAAGGACAGACAACTCTCATACTTCACAAGGAAAGAATTCATAGTGTGCCTCAGCTTAATGCAGCACTAAAACCCATGGGATGTGCCCCCTGAACTCGTAGTGCCACACACAAGTGAATTGAGCTCCAGTGTGGACACAGCAGCTCAAGTGTTATTTCAGCGTGACCGCTCTCACTCAAGGTTGGCTAACTCAGGGGGACTAACGCAAGTGTACATAAACTTGAGTTACTATGCAGTAAAGACAGCTGTGGCTCCATCGAAGGAAAGGTGGTAATAGTCACGGTCTGATCCTCAACTTCCCATGTGGTGTAATAGGGATAATAATCATCCTTCCTTCCTCCTGCCCTTTGTCTGTGTTGTCTATTTAGATTGGGGCAGGGACTGTCCCTTATGTACCGTGCCTAGCACAATGGGGCCCTGATCTTGGTTGGGGTCTCTAGGCTGTATTGGGCTACAAATAATAATTAATAAAACAACTGTACCTATTATGTTAATGATCCGATTGTGTGCAAGGACATCTCTGCTTTGGGAGATTATGGCAAACTGGATATACCAGTGGATTGGCTGGTATAAATGTCATATTTCCAGCTGTGCTCCTCCCCATTGGTCACTGAGGCCCAGAAATCTAATTGTCATCCTTCTAGTGAGACCTGGGCACTACACCCTTTGGAGCCTGTGACACCTGATTCAGCCAGCTGGGTTTGGTGAGATTTTATTGAGTACATTGTTGGGTTCCCTACACAGTTTGCCCAGCAAACAAAGCCTAATAGAGTCAGGCCCAATTGGGTGGCTCTTTTCTCCAACTGCAGTCCCAGAACCAGATTCTGGCCCCAAGTGTTTCATGAAATAACATGTCAGCCCTTTCACCAGCCTGTCATCTTTCCCTTTTGTTTAATTTCTGCAATTTTCTTCACATAAAACCCCTGAAGTTCCAGTTCACTTATTGGTTTTCTTTCACAATGCATGTTTGTGTAGGGGGAAATATAATCCCACAAATGTCTGTGTTTAAGAGGATGCAAATCAGTTTTCCAGCACAATGCTTTGTGAACAGTTTCTTTCATGCAAAACTCTGCTAGATAAATAAAAATCAAAGGGGGAATAGGAGGGAGGAGGTAGAGGAGATGCTGCTTCTATAAACAACAAGAGTTAATTATCATTCAACAAAATCACAGATGTGACAGAATCAAAAACTTAAGATCTGAACCTTTCGGAACTTTGGAGAAGTCTAGATCTAGAGCTAAATGGTGCAACAAAACCTGTAGCAACGGCCCTAACCTTGTCTAGTATCGTGGGGAAGTAAGGAGTCTGAAGGGCTGGGGGCTGGCTGTGTATTGTGATTTGAGATAGCACCAGTAGGTGGCACCATAAACAGAAAACCTCACAAGAACTGTCATTACTAAAGAGACAAGGTGGATGAGGTCGGCTCTCTATGAGCTAAGATCAAGTGTAGTAGTGACCAGAGGGGTGAAAACATTATCTTTCAGTGGAACTTCTGTTGGTGGGAGAGACAAGTTTTCAAGCGACACAGAGCTCTTCCTCTGTGTCGCTTGAAAGTTTGTTTCTCGCACCAACAAAAGTTGTCCCAATAAAATATATTACTTCACCCATCTTGTCTCTCGAATACCCTGGGACCACTATGGCTATAACAACACTGCATATTATGAGTAGAGTATAAAATACCTGTCACTTATATGTATGTAGTAGTTTTACTTCTTCAGGATGATTGCAACATTGCAACAGGATCTCATTTAACTGCAAAAGAAATGGTATTGCTTCCTTATACCTGCACCACGAACTGTATAGGACAAAGGGACAAGTTAATTCCTGGTGTAACTCCACTGGTTCTCCAAAAAATAAAGTATATTTGAAAAGGTTCCTACTGAGCAGCAAAACTCCACTAAGTGAAAGCATTTCTTTGATGGCATCCATGAGCATGTTCTGTACTCCACACATGGCTATGTATCTGATCTAAGATTACACTTCTTAAATTGTAAACTCCTTGGGCAGACACCTTGTCTACTCCATGCTCTGTACATTGCTGAGCATGCTGATAGAGCACAACACTTTGCACATGCCATAATACGAGTGTGTCTTGGATAGGGAAGATCAGAGAGAACAGGAGAAAGTGGAGGGCAAGTTTTTATTGGCATGTCATTTGGGGAGATCACATTACTATCAGTGCAGCAAGTGAGAGCACTGTCTAGTGATTATTGCAAGTTGCTGGTGTTCAAAACTCATAGATTCTGTTCCCAGCTCTCTACAGACTCACTGTGGGGTTTTGGGCAAGTCAGTTTACCTCTATGTGACTAGATTTCCCCATTTGCAAAGTGCCTCACAAAGGTGTTGTGATGTTCAGTTGTTTCATATTGGTAAATTCCTTTGTGATTCTTGGGTGAAGGAAGCTACAGAAGTATAAATTCTTATCTTTACTCTTGAAAAGCATATTGGAAAGATGTCTATTAATTAACTTGCATTTTTCTAAATATATATTTATATAATACATACATTAATGATGAAGTCTGTGTACACGCATATACAAAAATCTGCATTTATATACATATTTATAGTTGGACATACATGCAACAGAAATAAATAAGTATATACATTACATGCATACATTTGGCAAAAATACAAGATCATTAACAAGCATCTTTTGCAGCTATTAGATGGAAGTATCTAATCCTTTTTTCCATGTAGACTGCAGAGGTAAAAATACACTTTGAAATAAAAAAAATCTTGTGTATGTGCATTAAATGGTTTTGTGCATGAGACTGAAGTGTGTGAGTGTGTGCATGAGAGAGAGTGGTGAGATGTCTGTGAGAGCTGTGATGTGTAAATGAGTGTGTGTACAAATACAGCTTCCTTAACAGCCATTTCTTTTTTTGTAAAGTCTGTTTGGTACATTATTTCCCTGTGTCATGCACTTTGTCAGTATCACAAAAGACTATTCCAGCAGAAAGCCCCACTGTGTTAAGGGCACTGCTTCTACGGAGCATAGTTGAGCAACATGAATTCTCTTCAACTTTTCAAAGTCCTGGAAAGTTTTGATAAGCAAATACTGTCCAGGCTCTGCTTCTCCATTGGTTGTTTCTTCACCGCCAGATTTTGACACAAATAATCTGATTGAAAAATCAGGGAGGGGAACAGGGGCAAAAAACAGAAAGAAAAAAGGAGAAGTATCTATTTCAGAAGACAGCTACCAAGTGAAAAAGTGGAAGAAAGAGCCACAGAAAGAGAAAGAGAAGACCTCTTGCTGGGGGGTTTGTCTGGGGAGATTTCAAGGCAGAGCTTGATTCCTGCAAACCACAGTCCCCAAAACAGGTGATTTTTTTTACACATTTACTAACTTTGTTGAATTCATTCCTATGATGTGTCTTCATAAGCTTTTCTTTTTTCTTTTCTTGCGTTTGCAGATATATTCCACCACACAAGTCAGTTACATGTGCTGGGGATTGTTTTAGTATAATAAGGTGCTTAGATAAAATGATCAAACCTTTTAAAAACTGTACATTTATTTAACTTAAACACGTGCACACGGGCATGTGCATGCACACACACTAAAGTAAGTAGTAACAGAGAATGATAACAGCAAAAAAAGGTACAGATAAGATATTACTATGCCCTTCAACACCTAGGTCACAACAAGTACCTATAAGCAGAACTAATTTCCAGATGTGCCCCTTTGTATCTCGGCAATGAGGACATATTACATTTTTTCTTTTAATTGATATTTTCATGGGGCCAGATCTTCACCTTAAGTACATTTGCAAAGCTCCATTCACTTCAATGAAGCAATGCCAGTTTACACCAGTTGAGGATTTGGCCCATATTATTTAGTATTTTTGGCTCCAGTTTATCAGTTGATTTAACTTGTTTCCCCCCCTCTTAAATATGCGGATTAATGTGGCCTAATTTTTAGCATATGGAATAAGTCTGAACTCCCGCCTGACATACAGCCAGATCGGTTCAATGCACTGGGCAGGTGAATGGACAAATGACAAGCCCACACGATGGGTGAGCCTGTAAATTAAAGGAATATAGGATTTGTTTTACAGTACCTTGTCAAAGCTATTTATCCTTTGTCACCCGATCCAGTGCCCATTGAAGTCAATGAATCCGGCTCCTAATGAACAATCCTGAAATCACTTTTTAAATCACTTTATTTTTTAAAAATGTATTTATTCCAGATGGGCAAGTATTTCCATCCACATCCTGGGCAAAATTATAATAAAAAATTGCCAGCCCTGGCACAACATCCATTTGCCCAACCTTACCATGATAATGAAGAACTAATTATATGTTTACCCTCTCCACTAAAAACAAGTACAAATTACTCATCCCTGGAGAGTAGAATTTTATAAGGCTGGACTAGTGAGTTTAAATTTTGGTTTAAAAGACAAAGTCTTTTTGAATGCTACTTTAGATCCAGTGTCAGGAGTCTGTAAAACCTCTTATTTTGTTAGCACTCAAAAAAATTAAAATACTTGCGGATGGTAGTGAGGTTTTTTCATAATGTAGAATCTTCTGTAAGACAGAGAGTTCTTTATGTTTAGAAGGTTTGTGCTTTGGTTTGGTTTTGGTTGGTTGTTTTTTGTTTTTGTTTTGTTTTGCACGGGAATACTGGGAAAAAAATTATAATAGCAAATAAAGTTTGTAGGAAGAAGAAAATATTTCCCCCTGGCTGAGCCCTTGTACAGTGATCAACCCATCTGAAAATGTATTTTATTTGTAACTCTAAAAGTCTGTTGTGAATTTCCTTCAAACCTAGTGAAAAAAGCTTCCTTCATCTTGAGAGTTCACTTTCCAAATTCGGAGATAGAGAGATTTGAATTTCAGGAGTTACAAGGGGATGAAAGTCTGTCTTATAATGGAACATATGTTACAAATTTAAGACCTGATTCTGGACGGTGTTCTGGATTAGGTCCGTTGGGTGCAATCCTGCAAACACCTGCTATCAAATATTTGCTTATTGTTGTGAGTATTCCCATTGAAGTCAATGGAACTACTCACAGATGTAAGTGCTTCACTCGGTAGTAAGTGTTTGCAGGATCAGGGTCTAAGCTATAAAGACTATATTCGTCTCTCCATAACAGCAATCTTCTGACAAGCACAGGAGCCCTTTACAGCACCAACAAAGGGCCTGATCCTGCATTTTTTGTGCACTGCAAACTCCCATTCATTTCAGTGCATGTCAGGGATGCACAAGGAATGCAGGATCAGGCCCTATGTCTCAGCTCAAACAGAAGCCAGAAACCCTTGAAAATAAGACATTCTAATAGAAGTTCTTGTACATTGAGTGTAACAATGTGACTGTAGTACATCTTACACATTTTTGATGAGATGTTCCCTATACATTCTATTGACCTCCTATCAACAGTGTCCTAAAGGCTCTAGGAACCTTTGGGATGGAAGGTGCGCTGCAAAGATATTATTGTGAACATTGGCCTAGATTTTCAAAAGGGGCTAGTAACTTTGGGTGCCTCAGTTTTGCGGGCACCAAAGATGCATTAACGGGGCCTGATTTTCAGACATTGCTGACCATCCACCCTTTGTAAATCAGGACCTTTAAGGGGTCTTCAGTTAGGCACCCAAAAATCAAAAAGTCCAAAATCACTAAATCACTAGCCACTTTTGAAAAATCTAAGAATATTTTTTCCATGCTGAAAGCCAAAACTGTAACTTGGCCACTCTCCCTGGGGCTTCCTCTGGCTGCCTGGAAAATATAGTAGCCAGTTGCACGTTCTGTAACTGAGCAGTAAACAAGTAACTCTGATGAGTCTGACTTTGAATTTTACATTCTCTTTTGAACCAAGAAGAAGCCAAAACAGCCACATTTTGGGTAATCATCCTTGGCTAATCAGTGAAACCTTTCTTATATGATCACCATCCAAGGAAGGGATTGTCACCAAAGAGACCAGCAAAAACCGACTCCCTAAAAGATGGATTTTAAACTAAAGGTTGAACAAAACTGTCTGGAAGACTCAGTGGTTGCTTAAGACATAGGGCTGCCAATTTTGGTTGTACATATGCCTGGGGGTTTCATCACATGACAATCTTTAATTAAAAATTAATCTTCGATTCCTGGCGACTCCAGGACAATCCTGGAGGGCTGGCAATTCTATAAAATAAGACAAGGTGTTGTCTGTTAAAGGTGGGGTCCGTAGTGCTGGTTTCCCTTGATATCATGGTTAGATATTAGTAGCAGTTGACCGCTTGCTACTGATAATCTCTGTTTCAGAGGGAGATAATATTTTTCTCTCACAATCTGTGCTTCCAGCTTTCCTCACATTTGGTCGTGTGAATCACAAATATAATCTGATGCAGTTAATTAACTACACTCTGGGTTCCCAGTTCCTGTTTTCTCTGTAATGTGGGGTGGGGGGGGAGGGGGACTTCCTTTTGCAACGTTCAGTAGTGCATCAAAGATCGTTGAACTAGGCACAGGCCATTATCTGCCATAGAGACACGGAGCCAAATTTGGCTGTCAGTTATACTGGTGTAAATCTGGAGTAATTCCATTGATTTCTCTGGAGCTATTCCAGATTTACTCTAGTGAACTGAGAGCAGAATTTGGCCCAGTGTATCTAAATGAAACACTGTGGGCCCAATCCGGCAAACACCCCACCTGGAAACTCCTATTGACTTCAGTGGAAGTTCTACACACACTGACTTGCAGGATTGGGCCCTGTAACATTGTGGTGCTTAAAAGAAGCCTCAGTAGGGAGTTACGGGAAAGTAAATAGAACTAGGTAACATGGAGTCATTGCTTGCAAACACGCTGTCCATTTTCAGCCCTATATTGGGCCCCCTTCTAACTTTCTAACATAAAAAAAATTCTCTTTGTGACACAAACTTTCACATGTTAATCGCAAGTCACTTGCAATTTTCTTGGTAAAATATGAAGAAAACCAGATGAACCTATTTCAGAGTAAAACCTGACTAGGGAGTTCAAGATTTGGCCCAAAGATGGATTATCAAGTGATAGGAGCCCTGGGCCAGATTTACAAAGGTATTTAGGTGCCTAAAGATGAGGATGGGGTGACTAATATGATTTACAAAAGCACCTAAACTAGTTAGGTGCCTAACTCTCATTGACTTAAATGGGACGTAGGCACCTAACCTACATAGGCACTTTTGTAAATCACACTAGACGCTCTATTTGCATCTTCTGGCACCTAAATGCTTTTGGAAATCTGTTCCCCTGTCCCTTGGGACACTTAAGACAACACTGGACAAAGCACTAGCCTATACAATTGTATTTCGAATACTCAAGGTCAGTTTCTGCACTGGGCCCTGGAGAATGGACTAGCTGAACTCAGAGATCTTTCCCATCTCTAGTTGCTGTGTTTCCATGATCCATTCACAACTTTCCCTGGCTGCCTTATGCTGCCTCACTGAGACATTTCAGGTCATTCTTGCTCTACAGGTGCTGGGCTTTTTTCTTTTTTTAGTAAATATGTACATTACGCTTCAACTGTTCTCCTGCGGGGGTGGGGTGAGAGGGAAAGCGGGAGAGGAACACTTCCCTGTCAACATAGACCCAGGATTTACTACAAGCTTTCCAGGGTAAAATATACCAGGCTTTGCTTTTACTGCCACTGTACTGAACAAGTATAGGGAAAAAATGCAAATGTGCATGCAAATAAGAGATCAGCTGATCTCCTTGTAGTGTCTAACGTTGAACACTTTCCCGTGTTCTCTAGCACAAGGCCGGTTATTAGCCCTTGGGAAGTGGGGAGGGAGTAGGCCTGGGTACTAAAGATAACAGATGCATTGCAAGGGAATTTCATATGATTAAATTTCAGCATTTTATGTTTGTTTCTAACGCATGCATTTCAACAGCCTCATAGTGTTTGTTTCAGAGATAGCGTGTAACCCTTTCCCACTCAGCACTTCTGCTATGCCATTGCTTTGACTGTCATTTGTCAGCTAAAAAGCCAAATCATCATGCAGCGCTGTTAAAGAAATTTCATGTACATTAAAGAGCTTCACCCCACATCAGATCAAGGCTCCCTCTCTGCCATTATTCATAATGTCTTTCACGTCGTTTTGTTGTTATTATCATCATTAGCGTTTGTATTGTGGCAGCACCTAGGAGTCCCGTCATGGAATAGGACCCCATTGTGCTAGGCACTGTAGAGACACAGAACAGAAAGCCAGCCCCTGGCCCAAAGAAATGTTTTCCTGCCAGCTCTCCCACTTCATTGTACATTCAAAAGAATAGAATCAGAGATGCAGCATTGTTTAGTGGCTAGAGCTGGGGAGTAGGAGTTCTGCGGTCAGTTCCTGACTTTGCCACTGACTCACTGTGTGGCCTTGGGCAAATCATTTAACCTCAACGTTCTCCCTCTGTAAAATAAAGATAACAATATTTCTTTGCCTTGGGGGCGGGGTTTGAGGAAGGGGCTTATAAACCTTAAATCTTTATTAAAGCACTTTGAGATTTGCTGTCATCTCTGCAGCCAGTGACAAACAGTGTCTGAAAATGACATGGTGCTCCTCTTGCCCTGTCCATGGGTTTCAGTCTCCTGCCCTGGAGTTGAGGAATCCATCCCAGCTCCTAATTCCCTGCAGCCACTCCTCTTTGACTGGCTAGGGATAGGGGGAGCAGAATCTTTCAACCGAATGCTCTGTCTCAGTATAGGTTGCTCATCCATAAACATGACATATGGGTTTTATTTCTAGTCATCAAAGCACCAGGAGCTGGGGGGTAGTAAAGTGGGGAGTGATAGAAAACATTTCTGTCCCTCACCATTATTTATCCCATCCTTCAGTGTTTCTGCCCAGGAAGTGCCTGGAAAATGCCACGTTCTTTTTTGGTGAAGAGTAAGAAGGCCCATACCTACCACCAGCACCACTCTGTGGAAGAGAACCTGCCTGTTTCCACATGGGATCCCATACCATCACTCTGCCTTGGTGAGTCAGATCCATCCTCTGGGCTCGCTGAAGTACACCAAGGCAAACAGCAGTCGGAAAGCCAGGCTGGCAATATAACACAGAGCTGTGATAACCAGCTGGGACCTCTTTAAGTAGCTTGCCTATTGAAGTGAATGGGAGTTTAGCGTGAGTAAATAGTGAGTTTGAACTGATTAAACAGTGAGTGAAGGGCCCCAATACAAAGACATTGGCTTCCCCTCTGCACGCTTTCTCTCTTGCACTCCCTCTAGACCAAATCTGCTGCTGGCATAAATAGGTACAACCCTGTTGAAAATGGAATTGCACCTTTTTTTTCCACAGAAACTGCATTTGGCCTCTGTCTGTATCTCCCCTTTGGCTTGATGGTTTAGTGATTCTAGGGGCAGTGCAGAGACACTAGATTATATTGGAGGGCTTTGCTCACACATATGAATTTAAAAGTTTGAATAAATGTGTTTCTATTGATTTCCAGATCTCTGCCTTGCTTGCCTGGGAATCACTGCAAAAAACCCTCCCTTCTTCTGCTTTCTTTCATTTTAAATATAAATATTTATTCCCATTTTCCCCCAGAGGGCAGTTTTAGTACATGCAATGAAACCGGTGTGGCTCTCGCTGCACTTATGTTCAGCAAAGGCAGCTGACTCCAGCAAACATCCACTAGCGATCAGAAATGTTTGGAGGT